AAAAAAAAAAAAAAAAAAAAAGAAGAAGGCTGGAACGCTCTAATCAAGCTTGGGCATTGTGTTCAGATTGGACATAGAGACCAAAAGCCTTTGTAACGCATCTGTCCTTAAAAGGGCAGGATTGGAGTTGAACCTGACCTTGTAGTGTGAATGTGATTTGACACAGTGGATGTGGAAGCAAACATGAGTTTCACATCCAGCCTCAAATTCCATTGTACATGATGCAAGGAGAGTCCAGGGAGGGTGATGGCATAGGCACGTTTCTAGGAAACAAATCTAGGTCTTAAGAAACGGTGTTTGGGAAAACAGACTTGTTAGAGTTGGTATTTTCAAAGTGTCTGACAGAAAGGTGATGAGTGTGTTGTCTTTGCTTTAGTTGCTAAGGAATTAGCTGTAAGTCTCTGGCTACTTAATTTTCTGGACTTTTGCATCTGCAACGTGGTACCACATACACTCGCCCAGAGCCAATGCTCAAGTGCTCAATCAGTGATTGTTACATAAATGAGTAAATGAATGAAGAATGGAGGACACTAGAACTACGGGAAAGTCAGTGTTAGTGCAGTGTGTAATTGTTCCTAAATTCTGTCTCTCAGCTCTTTACCATTTGTAGGACCTGTTCATAGGACATGTGCCATCTCCTTTAGCCCTTTCAGCAACTCTGTGTGGTAGACCCTTCTTTCCCACTTCTGTCTTAGTTTGATAATGAATTGGCAGAGGGTCAGGAACACAAACGCCTGATTCACCACGTCTCTGCCAAGGACAGGCTATAGCTGACTCAGAGCCTGGACCTTGCCCCTACCCTTTGGTGCCTCAGTTCAGCCTCTCCTGGGCAAGTGAGCCTGCACCGATGCCTCAGGAGGAGTTAAAGGTGAGCACCCGCGAGGAGGATCAGCACTATTGCAGGGTAACCTGTGCTCTGCTGCTCCCTCCAGCTCTTCCCAGACAACAACAAAGAATGCACAAATATTAGGAGGTTTACCTTACCAGATTCAAGGTAATGCATTTTACTTCAAGGCACCTGCCCTGAAGCCTGGTGGAAGGCAGGGATATTAGATTTTGTGCTGGGGCTTTTCCATTTGAATGAAAATGGAGAAAAATTGGTAGAAAGCAATTTCAGCTGTTGGTTAGTGGCAGTCATTGCTGAGGTTAGCTAGGATGGCTTTTAGCTTGGCTCTCAAGGTCAAGTGGAATTATGTGTTATCAAGTCCAGTAGTACACAAAGGGGTTTAAGTTTTAGGTACTTTTAAAGTTTACTTCATATAAAGGAATTCAATTTACTCGGATGGGAACTGCCCTCTTCCAAATAGAGGAATTTTTGTAAAGAAGGTAGATGTTTATGCATTGTTTCCAACTGTCTCTTTCACACTCACCCTTCTGCCCCTGTCACCAACACAGCCCTTGCTAAAATCATGGGTGATTCCATTTCTCTAAGTTCTAGAGACAGTTTTGATCTCCCTTTCCTCCCTGTGTCATGAACATTTGACACTATTAACCATTATTTCTCTGTGACTTTGTGATTTCACATTTTCCTAGTTTTTTTTCCCCTGCATTTCCAGTTACTTCTTTCCTCCTTAATGAAATAATTTTCCCCCATGTGGCTGTTACATATTACAAGCCTAATTTAAGGCCTGATCCTAGGGCATTTTCTCCCTTTAGTTTCTTTTTCATCCTGCATGGCCTCATTTGTTCCCATGACTTCACTTTCCCGTGTCCCAGTGGCACCCTGTAGTCATTAGGATGGAATGGGTTATGTTGCAGTAACAAACCATCCCCAAATTCAGTGATCTAACAGTAGGCTTTTTTGCTCATGTGTGCAGCGTTCTCTGGAGGTTTGGCCACCGCTTCTAAGTGGTGACTCAGGGATTCAGGCTGCTTCCATCTTGTGGTTTTGCCTTTTCAACACATGGCCTTCAACTTGGTTTCGTGGCATAGATCAGTAGAAGAGGACATGGAGAATCCCATCCGCTCTTCTGTGCTTCCATTTATAGCCCTTTGGCTAGAAATACATGTCTCTACCTTAATTGCAGGGGCATTGAAAAGGAAGTCTTTCTGTGTTCCAGGGAAGAAAAAAGTGAAATGGGACTGGGTAGCTACTAATGCCCACTTTCACACTATCGCTTAGACTCGTCTTTAGGACTCTAGCTCTTAACGGTCACCTGCTTGTGTGGCATCATCACACCTCAGAAGCAGCTCACACTACATTTCCAAAGGAGCTCATGGTGCACCCACAAAAACCTGTTCTCTCTGAGAATCTCCCCTCTAGGAGAACAGCTTAGTGATAGTCATCCAATTCTGCAAGCCCAAACCATAAGAATGGTTCTTGGCTTTCTTCTCCTTCAGTTCCACATTCTGTCTGTTACCACGACCTGGTGTCCACTTTTGTGTATCCTCGGGGCAGCCTCTATTCCAAGTGACTGTCGTCTCTTGCAGTCCACTGTGGTGACTTCCTAGCTGACCACCCCTCTTCCGCTCTTGCCCTGGCCAGTCCCTTTCTACACTGCATTTAGAGGGGTCTGAGTGCGCCTGATACTCTTACTTCTCCTCAGCTCTCAGTCACTTCCTCAGGGGGCTATGCCTAGGTTCTCCTGTTTAATTTTCTCACAGTCCTATTGCATCTTTCCTTCATAGCGTTTGTTGTTTTAATTGCGTGTTTGTTTAATTCATGTTTGTCTCATTTACTAGACAGTTCTGTGAGGCGAGGGACCATTTTTGGTTTATTAGTTTTCTGCATCATCTTTTGTTGTGCCTACTACATACTGGATGCTTAATAAATATTGCTTGGATGAACTGTGTTCTCTGTAAATTTCATATACTTGCTACAGTAGGAATTAAGTAAGCTAAAAGATAATTCCTACTTTCAAACTGTATAGGGTGGAAGAGGGAAGAAAAAACATATACATATAATGTGTCCCAACTGGGTCAAATAGATGTTGAAGGCTATGGGCCAGAGTCAGCAGTCTGGAAAGTTTTGTCTTACTTAGTCCGCCACTGGCAGCTCTATCGCCAGTTCCTCAAGTTTATCTGTGCTCTATAATTGAAATTTCTTGAGGGCAGAAATCTCTGTTAGAAATTACACATTTTAATACCCAGCGTGCTTCTTTGTACCTAAGGAATTCTTACTGATATCATAGGCAAATATAGTGAATATGTAGAAATAAAAATCCTTTCTGAGAAGTAAAGACATGGTGCTGCTGGAGGAAGTCACTTTATGGGCAGCTTCTCTAGTCCCTTCATGACCCCTGATACCACCTTGGGAAATGCAGATATTGTCCCCTTCCCACTCAGTTTTCTCTGTTCAGTGTGTCGTAGTAAACCATCCGTGCCCCTTTCAGGTCTTCCAGAGACGGAACACTGGGCAGTTGGATTTCTTCAAGCGCTGGCGGAGCTATGTGGAAGGCTTTGGGGACCCCATGCAGGAGTTCTGGCTTGGTATGATTTCTGAGACACCAAGGGGGTGGGCTTGTGGCTAATTTTCCCCTTGAAAGCTGGTTAGGCAGCTCATCGGGAGGTCCAGGTGACAGGGACACTGCGTTGGTGATCCCAAGCAAGTGGGGAAGGTCTCATGTACTTCAGACTCGTCAAGAGGTAGGGCGGCCCAGGTGGTTTTTATGCTGTATGTAAGCTCCACAAGATCTGCCTGGAGCCTGAAATTCTAACAAATCGTACTAGAAAAGCAGTTGTCTGATTGGGATTCTGGGCTCTTACTGGAAGGGTATTCTAGTAGTCCCTGAAATTCTGATGGTAATGCCAGGTATTATAGGTATTATATTTTTCCCCTTTTCTCTCTTCTCTCCTCTGGAGCAGATGTTCACAGAGAGTGAAACAGCCAAAAGCATCAGTGGGGAAATGAAAAATTTAAAAAATCATAATCTGAATACTCTATGTCTAATGGAGTATAAGATTGTGGTTTGCTTGGTACAAAATCTCTTCAGGGACCTGAGAATGACTATTGATCTGTTGTCTAGTTATGAGATGTTTGGACAATAAGAGCTGCTTTTGTTTTAGAGGCATGGAGCTGATGGGCAGATTCGTCCCATGATTATCCTCCACCCCACCAACTGTACCCTTCTGTATAAGTCATTAGTTTGACAGTGCCAAAAAAATAATAGGGTGATAAAATTGGTCCCTTCCCCCCACAGAGAAAGTGTTGGAAAGGCTCTTTATTGGCAGAAAACAAAAGCTAGGATGACTTTTGGCTTTGAAAGTCTTAGATACAAGTGGAGAGTGCTCACACATGGATTGGTTGGAGTCTTAGTCACTTTACTTATCTCTGGGAAGCAATACCTGACACTGGTATACTAAAAGTGAAGGGTTTACTATGGACACAGTTTGTAGAGCTTTCAGTCCATAGTTGGCTGGCTCCAAGGCAGGACGGTGTGCCAGAGCGGCCTGGCAAAGGAGAGCAGCTCGTGGCGTGTCCGCAGGAGGCAGAGAGCCCCCGAGGGAGGAGGAGGGAGGTAGACCCTTCCATGCCACGGCCTCAGTGACCTCCTCCTCCAACCAGTATCACATTTAGCTATAAACTCATTGGTGGATTCATCCATTGATGAATATCACACAACCAAGGTCTAGTCACTCCCAGACCACCCACCTACAAGCCCACGAGGCCTTGGGGGACATCTAAATAGAAACCATAATTGGTCATTAGAATTCATTCTGCATTTGTAGGACTTGACAAGCTACACAATCTCACCAGCAGCACTCCTACCCGGTATGAGGTCAGAGTGGATTTACAGACTTCCAATGAATCTGCCTATGCCGTGTATGACTTCTTCCAAGTGGCCTCCCCCAAGGAGCGGTATAAGCTGTCAGTTGGGAAATACAGAGGCACAGCAGGTAAGAAAGTGTTTCCTTACTGTTACAGCCTCTTTCTCTCTGTTGTCTAAGAATTGTTCTGCCAGGTGCCATGGATCTGGGTGGGGGTGGAATATTGTTCTGTCTCCACAGTGGGAAGTGGGCTGGGGGTGAACAAAGATGTTAAGACAGTCCTTAACCTTCCTGCATCTGGAACTCTTGAACCCCACTCTAATAAAACCCCTCCTCTTCTACTCCCCCAGTTCAGGCTGTTGGGAATTGGCTGATGAAATTATCCTTTCTGGTGATTTTCTGGTGCTTTCAACCTTTCATTAGACTTCAGCACTGTGGCTGTCGTGTCTGTCGGCACAGCAGTGTGTATGTGTTATTATTTAAGCATTTTGTTTTACTTTGCTATAAATAAAGACAGAACAATGAAAGTGCTGATTTAAACAATAAGAAAGATAGGTGTCATTAACTTAATACAACTGTGATGACCCAGAAATGAGCAGTTCAGCTGAAAGCAGGGAATCTTTAGCCTCGATTAGCTGCTCATTGGAGGTTAGCTGGTTGATGATGTGTTCATTTGTGAGGGAAAGGAACAAAATGAAGCAATGTAATGGCAATGTTGGAATGATTCCAGTAAATATTTCATTTCAAAGGGGAGGTGTGGTTATTGCTTTAATACTAATATTTAAAATCTATTATTTATGGTTTTTAAGTCAAGTAAGTCTATTTGACTTTTACGTGTTTCCCACTTTGGTGTAATTATGTAGGAAGGTGTTAGCAGCCAAACGGACACAGTTTTTGTACTCAGACTCACATGTAGACAGAAGAAGAAAAGTATAAGGTAACTTATACTTAAGAAAGGTATAAGGATTGGAGTGGATGGAGGAAGCATCCTGCAGAGCAGGGGCTGGAGCTGGTCAGAAAGAAGAGTTGAGCATAGGCTGAAGGAAGGAAGGGCCCCTTAGCGAGGGCAAGGACTGAGCTGAGGTAAGGGCATTGGAGTGTAGTCCTGTAGGGGTCACAACTGTCCACTCAGAGTCTCCGATGGCAGACAGCTGTGAATTTCTGAGATCTACAATCTCGTCTAAAAGAAGCCATCACATGAATTTTGCTTTTATTTCTTTGTGTCTAGCACAGAGCCTGGCAGAGAGAATGTGAGTTTAAAAACTGAAATTGCTAGCAGGACTTTTTGATATAATCTCACAAATGTTTAATATCCTCCCAAGACCCAATAGGTGCCACAGGGGTCAGTGAGTTTGGTGAAGGGGTAAGGTAGGAGGGGTGATCATCACTTAGTAGAGTACCCAGGAGTATAGGTTACATAGGACTGTCCAAGAATTCCAAGCAGGGTTCGGGTGGGGAAAAGTGTGCAAAGAACTGTTTATCTTATGGGACTAAGCCCATGGTTCCTCATCCCCACCCCACCTCTAAAAAAGATTGGACGGCATTGCTGATGGCTTCCTGAAGGGCCCGTGACCCTTTAGTGTAAAAAGGGACACACACACCTGTCTCTTCCACCCTTTGTACCTCCTGCTCTGGCCTCAGTCCACATGGAGCCTATCAGGTTATCCCCATTGCTTCCAGTACCCTCTTTTCTGTTCTTGCCACAAGCATCATCAGCTTTAGTCTTTCTTTCTCAGGCCAGAGTCCCTGCCTTCACAGGTGCCATCTGTGGGCCGGTTGATCCCTGGACAATGTATGAAGTTGGGTGTTTCCCTCTGGCTCCTGTTCCCCCCACCTCCTTGAGATATAGCACCCCTCATGGCTTCCTGGTTAGGGCCTTATTCAGGACTGTCCTCCCAGGCTGTCCCTGCTCCTTTCCTAGAACATTAAAATTTGCCTTTGCTAGGCCTGTTTAACATAATCCAGCAAATGAACTGATGCTAATGGGAAAATGCCTGAAAGGAGTCTGCATATTTGGGGATTAATGTGATTTTCCTCCCAGGTACTGTATTTGCATTTTAACTGTGATTAGGGGACAGTTCCACTCTAAGGTTGTTCAGGGCAACAGTGCCAGTCAGCGGAAGATATATTTTTTTAATAGGAAGCCTTGGGAGACTTTCAAATCACACAGCACTTAGGCAGCAGTCTGGTCTTCCAGTGCCTGATCATTCCTACCTTTAAAGTCCCGATTACATTGGGGGATCAGTGGAGTTTGAGTTTTCCTTATATATGGTGATGGGTCCATGAGGAGGGCTTTAAAATTTTGGCTTCTTATGTCCTACATGATGAGGCCGTATTTAGAGGAAAGGCTTTTAAATGGAAGGTGAGCACTTCGGTTTCTCTGTTCATGTGCTGGCTGTCCCCACTTCTGACTTGGTTAGGGCTGTGCCGAGAGCAGAGATGTGAGGAGATATGCAGCCCCCGAGAGAATGTGAGGTTCAAGGCTTGTCCCCTCTTCAGGGTGTACAGGTGGGCCCTTTGTGTCCCACTGAAATCACCCCCAAATCCATTATTTCTTCCTGAAGGAAGCACTACAGGGGCAATACAATGTAAATTTAGTTTTTATTTTAAGACTTGGAATGAGGCAAGGAGGCTGTCTGATGCTCTCTACCTTTGAGATACTATTCATCTATTTAGAGATGAAAATGGAAACCTAAATAGACATTCAGAATAGCACTGAAGGATTTCTGTGGGCTGAGCAATTGTTTACAGCTGATTTCAAGTTCCAGCTTTGTGGGGCTCAGTTGTGCCCAGGTTTGGGGATGGGTCCAGGCTCTGGTGATCTGTACCAGCATGGAGTGGGCTGGGGCCAGGGATGCCCGATATCTCAATGCCAGGACATTCCTTGTTTTGAGGTGGGACTTGAAAAAGAAAAAAAAAAATCAAAAACCTTAATGGATAGGAGTATAAAAGGGAAAGCCAGAAATGTTGCCATTCTTTTGCTTACTTTTTCCTAATCCCAAGATAAAAGACATGTGAGGTCCAGGCATAGGATTCAGGGGGAATATATAACCTTCGTAGATATGATGGTAATGGCTTTTCCTGGTCTGAGATAGTAGATTTCTGGGTCATCTTTTTTGTTCCATGAAATGCTAAAGGAGCAGTGTCAGTCTCAGAGTGACATTTGGATGAGGTAGTTGGTGACCGGCTTAGTGGCACTGTCTTGAGCTTGGATTCAGCCCTATTATGCCGCCCACCATCAGCCTCCCCAGCCTGCACCTGAGAAGTTCCAGCTTCTCACCAAAGACATTGTACTGGAATTGGGGCCTTTATCTCTAATGCAGTGCTTTTTCCTAAAGCCCTGAGGAGGGAGAGTCTGAGCACCGTGGTTTTGACTATTTTATTTTACTTTATCTTACTTAGGGAAATACGCTTAATAAATCAGAATGCTGTTTTGGCTAGGGCTTGGTGAGTAGGATAAAATTACTCACTATCTACTTCTGAACATTAGAGTGGCTTCAGTTTCTAGAAGGCAGAAAATCCATCTGTGGAAAAAAAAAAAGGTCCCATTTAGGCTTAAACCTGCTTCACCCCTCTTTGGCCCAGTGCCCAAGGTGAGATAACAAAAACCCACAGAAAGCCTCTGCCCAGATGCCTCAAAAACAGGCCCGGGGACTTTGTGCACAAGTTAGGTAACCGAGCGCATTAAAAGGATGTTACTAAGGAAATCCTTGTGTGTTATTTCAGGCTGTCATTAACTGTGTGCACGACAGCTAGAGGGAGGAGGAAACGTGTACGGACAAAGTGACAGCGTACGGGACAGAGCTGTTTCGCCGTCTCAGTGAAGCGGCCTATCTGGCTGGCTCTGTTCTTGCTCCTCCTACCTTTGCTGGGTGAGGCAGAAAGCAGCTGTTGTTTGAACTTGCAGAGCTGGAGGGGCAAACTGGGACACATGGTTTGCTACCAACTCTGTCACTGTGCTGGGGGCTGAATCCGGGGCTGTGCTCTTGCCGAGTGTGTGCCGACCTCTGAGCTATGCCTCCTTCCTCTAGCAGCTCTATGATCCCGCCCCACTCACCTCTGCTAAGTTTTTGAGAGCAAAGACTTCCTCACTGTTTGTATTCCTGGAGCCTAATGGGGAGCTCTGCACAAGAAAGTGAATGACGTCGTAGCTCCTATCAGAATCATCGGAAGAGCTCGTCCATGCACAGATCGCAGGGGCCCACTCTATGTGTAGTTTCTGGTTCTGCCGGTGTGGGGTGAGCCTGAGAATGTGCATTTCTAACAAGTTCCCAGGTGATGCTGGGGACCTTGTTTGGAGAACCATTGTTGTTGGTTGTTAGAGATAGCTGTCTTTTCCTGGCATTGTTAAAGCCCTCTGTTGGAATAAGGGAGCCATGGATTATTTGGTGACTCAGAAAGAACCTTGGTCTTAATAGCTGAGGGTTGAAAGTTGAGTCCTGGCTCTCATCTGTGGACTATGGGACCTTGACAGGTCCTATAGTCTGTTCCTTGTGAATTTATTCATGTGACCAAGGGCTGCTCTGCTCACTTCATGGAATAAGATGAGAACCTGTGTGAAGAAGATGCCTCATGGACCAGGGGTTCAGGATAATGGAATTATCACTAGAGCAGGAACAGGACTTGTTTAAGCTTGTGATTGATATGAGCCCTTATTGCCTTTTATGGGCTGAAAAAGAAAGTAAACTTGTAACAGGATGACAAATATGGTAGGGAAATAGGTGTAATGCAAGTAAAATAAGGTAGATCCTAGACAGGATGTAATGAAGCACTGAACTGTACATGTATCCTTGGAAAGGCTCTAGATGTTCAGGTGTGTGTGCGCGTGTGGTGTATGTGTGCATTTGTGTTAAGGTGGTAGGGAGACTGGTGAGAATCTTCCTCAGGTGTGGAGTGGAGATAGGCATTGAGGGATGGTTAGGATTTGGCCAGTGGAAGGTAGAAAGATGCCCTATTGGAGGTGGACCTTTCTTTTCCACAAGTGGGGGGTGCCTGGTGAGAACAGTGGGATCCAAGCTTGTGCAGCGGGGACAGCCAAGGGACAAGCTTGTAAAGCAATGAGGAGTCATCACCTGTCTGTGGTAGGAAGGAGGAAATCGGACCAGAGGGGACCAAGATGGGGGTTTGAACTTCATAGGGGCTTGCAGGCAAGAAGTTGGGGAGAAAGCTGTTGGGTTCATGTGGGCCCACAGAAGTGAGAAAAGACCTAGGCTGGCAGCCATGGGGGCAGAGAGGTAGGTAGGGTGTGTGAGCCATGTGAGAAAGAAAGGTTGGATGAAAGATATGAAGGGCATGTTGAGGATAGCACTGGAGTTTCAAGTCTAGGTGGCAGGGAGAAGGGTCACCGTAGCAGAGATAGAAGACAGAGAGTAGTTATTTCTTGGGAGGGGTGGTCAGACATTTGACTTTTTGTGACTCTGGAGACTGTGGAGCTTACAAGTGAAAAAGCCATTACAGCCACTGGAGAAACAGGCCTGGAGTTTGGGTAACAGGCCAGAGCACCTGTTCATCTGTATTGTGTTCTCATTTGGGCCATTTTGAGAGTGGTGACCAACTGTGACATGTAAGTGGCCGAATCCTTGGCATTTTCACGCCTAGATGTTTCCTGCTGGGTCCTCTTTGGGGCCAGACTGTGACCATGCCCCCAAAGCCTAAACAAGGCTCCTGTCTCCCCTCTTCTCTCCTCCAGGGGATGCTCTTACATACCACAATGGATGGAAGTTTACAACTTTTGACAGAGACAATGATATTGCCCTCAGCAACTGTGCTCTGACGCATCATGGCGGCTGGTGGTACAAGAACTGCCACTTGGCCAACCCTAATGGCAAATACGGGGAGACCAAGCATAGTGAGGTACGTGACAGGCAAGCATTTTCTCTGCCCTCTGCTCTGCCCACAGTCAGCTTCCGAAGGGGGGACACCCTTCAGGCTGGGCTGGTGGCCCCTCTCTCTCCGAGGCTCCCAGTCAGGGCACTGCCCACTCGACTTTCCAGTGCTGCACACTTTCCTAGTGGCAGGTGGGTGGGAAGCTCTGCTGCCCACCGTGTGTAGACTGATGTTGTGAGTCACACGCCACCTCGTTTTACAAGTTCACACACGGATGCTGTCGTGGCTTGGGCTGCTACAACAAAATGTTGCAGATTGGGTCACTTGAATAAGTTCTAGATCAGACCGACAGCAGATTTGATTCTTGTGGGGTGGGGTGCATGGTGGTGGGTGGGTAGTGGATTTGCTTCCTGGCTGGTAGACAGCTGCTTTCTCACTACATCCTCCTATATCAGAGAGGAAGAGAGAAGGGTCCTGACTTTATCCACGCAGCCCTGTCAGGAGCATACAGGGCTGGGCGCCCGTGGGGGTCCCCTGCCCTCTCTTGCTTGGAAGCCTTCAAAGCTACTGCAGTTTCTTGAACCTCCACAACCCTTGCTTGTCATCTCGACTCTTTTCCATCCACGTGCATCTCCTGCCTGCTTCCTCACAGCTTTTTGAGAATTGCATCTTTGCTCCTAATTATCCTTAATCCCTATGCTCCCAAACCCTTGGATTCCTGATTCTGGGTTTCCACCTTCCCGTCCTTATCTTACTCCACCCTTATCTTGTCCTCCAGGAAGCCCCTCTTCCCAGAACTTATCCCATACCGATATTACTGTCAATATCGGCACATGGAAAGCGCAGGTAAATTTTTATTATTTTGGTCCTAATCAGCTCCTTATGTGATTTTTCAAATGGAAGAGAAATTTGCCCCCCGAGGAAACCGAGGAAGGTGGCCCATGAATCACAGTGGCAGTGTGTGGGCCGATCAGAGAGGCCTGCAATCAGAGATCAGATATTTGAAATGAGCAGTCAGCGTGCTCTAAACCATCCCCATATTCGCTAATAAAAGACATTCATCTGGTTAATGTGCTTTTCACAGTCTGCGCGGCATTTAGCTTCTTGTTTATTATTTACCTCACAAATTAAAATACATAAAATTGGTCACTTGGGCTCTTTATTGGCCAGGTTGCAAGGTTATTAAGTGAATTAAATATTATTATGCTCACCAGTCAAAAGACATAAAATGATATTTAGTTTTCAGCAGGCTATTTGTTACCCTAGAGCTAATACCTAAACAGTCTCAATTGAAAATTATTTCACACAATTGGCCAATTAATATGTTTATTTTTGCCTTTAATTTTTGGGAAAGGAAAAGAGTGAGGCAAACCTAATTTGCTCACGCCTGGCCGGGCTGACCTCGGGGTTAGCTGTCTGTCCGGGCCTCCCCCACATCCTGGACGCAAACCCCTCTCTTTCCGGCAGCGACCTGGCTTCTGTTCCTTCTGCCTGTCTAACCCAGCTGCCCAGCAGAGGGCGCACGCTCACAGCGCTGGCCCTCACCTGGCGGATCGGCGCTCCAGGGACCGCTTTCTCTGGCTCTGCACAGCGGGAGCGGATTGAGTACCAAAGAATGATTCCTTGGTACCAAAAGCCACTCTTCCTTCTTCCAAAGTGCAACTTCTTGATGTTGACATTTTGCGTAGGGGGTGAACTGGAAGCCGTGGAAAGGACATGAGTTCTCCATCCCTTATGTGGAGTTGAAAATTCGCCCTCATGGCTACAACAGAGAGCGTTTCCACGGCAGAAAGAAGCGGACTTTGGGAGGAAAGACGAGAATGTTCTGATGACCCGACCAGCAGTGTTCGCAGGAGACAAGACCAGCTGGGGTCGGGCTGCGAGCTTGGGGCCGGTGGGTGGCGGCTGGGAAATGGAAGGTTGAAGGATGCTCCCGGCCTCTAGTTTCTGAGATTGCTGGAAAACTCACAGAAGAAACGATGGCAGCAAGCTTCCAATCCTAGAGGTTCCTTCTCAGTCACCTGCAGTTTTGCCCATCTACGCTAGGGGGCCTGGTACTCGGCGCTGTCCTACTCGCAGTCTGTATTGGCATGGGGAAAAAGGGTTTTGAAACTGCAAGGATTTTTCAGCCCGTTTTTGGTACCAAATATACTGGACTAGTGTGGAAAAAAGGAATCTTCCAGCACTTCACTGGAAATCTCTGGGAACTGGTGCACACATAACATATTTAAATCTCTGCTGATACAGAGCTTGCTAGAAAGTCACGCCAAAGAGAGATTGTGACTGCACAGGAGTCAGGGCTGGGGTAACTTGATGGCTGTTGCCTCCTATTTCCTGTGGGTTCCGAGAGGAGAAGTGTAAATCCCACTCCTTTTTAATCGCTGGTGTTATGAGGAAGAATAAAGAGAATAAAAAGGGGCCCAGATGCTTTCACATTTAGCTAGTTTCTGTCTGGTCTGCGGCACACTGGAAACCAAAGCTGCCATTTTACTGCTATTTTTAACAGCCCCCTTTGCAGCCATTTGCATAGCCATTTTCATAGATCTGCATATGTTGTAAATAAATTCTCACTCAACTTAAATAATTTGACTCTCTTAAATACTGGCTCCTTTCCGAGACTCTTCCCTGACTGCCTTTCCCTACCACCAGGCCCTCAGCCTCCCTCCTTTCCTGTCCCCCCCACATTGCTGGACCCCTGAGTTTCCAGGCAGCAGGGCACCAAGAGGCTGTCTTTGGACGCTCGGCAAGTCTCGTCCTTTTTTGCTTGTTTCCTATCGGTTTGGAAGGTTTTCCGTAGTCAAGTCAGTGACCATTGAAGTAACTTAAATTCTTATTCAAGAAAATAAACCACTTGATTAAAAAAAAAAAAAGCTTTTGTTGTTTTATTTTCCCTGCACAAGTGCACTTGGATTCTAAATTTAACCTAAGTGCAAGTGAAGGTACAGTTCGTGTGCTCTGTTGGAACTGGTTGGTTGCGGTCTCCTTCCTGTGCGATGGCGCATGGTGGTATTTGGACTGCAGAAGAAGGGCATGAGTGGGAAGGGAGGCAGATGTTCTGGAAGCCGCTGTGCCCTACCATTGTCTAGATTTCTTCAGGTTTTAGCCTCTGAGAAAATGCCAAGCTCTATTCCTGTGACCGTTTTTGTCAACGCTTTATGTTTTCAGTGTGCCTCCCTCCCCTCTTCTCTCTCCCTCTCTCTCCCCTCTCTCCTTTTCTCAGCCGTCCCCAGATGGACATAATGAACCATGCCACTGCAGCCGCTGGATCCCGTACTGAGTGGGCTGAGTGAAGTCCAGTGTTGATGTTGGGGCTGCTCATTAAAAATGTGTTTGCACATTGCTCATTGATCGAGAGTCTGTTAAGTGTTGTCCTGCTTTGGATGAGGCAGTGTGCTTGACACTGAGGAAACGTGGGCAAGCCAGATCCAGTGCTCATGCTAATGGAGCTGGTCCGCCTGCCTGCCTGCCTGCCTGCCTTCCTTCCTTCAATAAGTATTGATTAAATCCTATTGAGTGCCAGGTTCTAAGCACTGGACCTATTGAAGTAAACAAAACATTCCCATATATGTTTTGTTTATATAGTCTCTAGTCCTTATGTTCTACAGGTAGGGACTGATGATAAAAAACAAATAAATTATGCTTATAATTTAAGCTTATAATTTAATGGCAGTAAATGATGAGTAAATGTGTAATTGCAAGAAGTAATAAATGCTGTAGGAGAAAAAGTAGGCTTAAGAGTTGGAGGTGGTGATTGGTGGTGAAGCCCAGAGGTGGTTGTTTTAGTTACTTTACTGGTCTCGAGACAGATAGCTGACACCCACAACTGAAGGAAGGAAAGGTTTATTTTGGCTCATAGTTTGTAGCAGTTTCATTCCATAGTCAGCTGGTTCCAAGGCAGAGCAGAGGAGAGCAGCTCCTAACTTGCCAGCAGGAGGCAGAGAGCCATCAAGGGAGGCGGAGGGAGGTAGACCCTTCCAGGACACAGCCCCAGTGACCTCTTCCTCCAAGCAGCCTCCACCTTCCAACATCACATTTAGCTATAAACTCAGCAGGGGACCAGTCACACCCCCATGACCCAGTATTCTCCCCCAAACCCCGCTTAGGAGCACATGAGGCTCTGGGGAGAACATCCAGATACAAGCCATAACCCTGGTGTTCTTTCAGGGGCTGGGGGTCTATGGAGGCCCTTCTGGGGTGGAGATAATTGCAGAGACCTTGTCAGATTTCTTTTAGTCTTGGTTCACCTTTGTAGGAACCTGGGCCTGAGCTAATTCCTTGTCACAGAAGCCCTCTGTATAGCTACTGAGTTCCAGGGCCTCTCCTTGAATGCCGTTCTGCTATGTCCTGTGCCTGTTTGTATGAAGAGCACTCACCTCAGTGACTCAGAAGCCTTGGGCTCATCCCTGCTAGTTCCAGGCTCTTTAGTAAAGAATGTCATCTTGGCAAAGTGAATCCAGCCTCAGGGACTGACTCGGAGCCAGAGATGTTGGATGATGGTAGTGCTTCTCAACTTCTAAAATGCTTCCTGAACATACATGTAAATGTGGATTTCTGAGCCCCATCCTTAGATGTTCTGAGCCAGTCGATGTTAGCTGGGGGCTGCCGCCCAGCTGGCGACCCCAGCTTACATAGCTTGGATGTGGGGGCCACTGGTGATCTTCACGCTGGGGGAGTCTGTGGTAGCAACTGATCACAGAGCTCATGTTCCAGGCTCTATGAGCCCAGGGTTTCTCCACCACTCACTGTGAGGAGGACGTCTGGGAAATTGGAGTTGTTTTGTGTTTTTTTGCCTGTAGGACCTGTGCTGACCCTGAGGTGGGGTGGGGCAGAAAAAAATCCTCAATTGACCTTCACATTTCTGCTGGAACAGGGAAGGAAGTTTGGAGCTTGTTTGCAAAGGATGTTTATCTTACGGCGGAGAATGTGGACCTCTCTGTCTTACCCTCATTTTAACGTGATTGGCACTGGCGGCTCGTATGCTGGTAGCTGCACATAGGCTGCGGAAAGGGTTTCTGGGTAGACTTGCTTTTTCAGAGAGGGTCAAACTCTTTCTCAGAGCCAGGTTATGAGATGTCAAGGTTTTGCAACTTATAGGAAGCAATTCTTATCCTTTAGGACAGACCAAAGCAAGCGGAAGTTCATGTAGAAGCGCTGGGGTTGGAAGCAGGACAGAGGTCACACATCCTTGGTAGAGCGTTTCCCTCTCCAGGAAGACACGAGGAAGGCAGTGGTGAGCGAAACAAGCTGCTGGCCTCGTGCGGCTCACAGGATGGTGGGGATGCAGTGCGGGCAGGAACCAGCTCAGTGGCAGCTCAAGAGAGAGGATGGGACGGGGAGCAGAGGGGTGACTGCTCCTACACAGGGTACTGGACAGAGCTCATGGACACAGTGTGGGCATTGGATGGGGGTAGGATCCAGTGGCAGAAATGAGAGAGCATGGAGCATGTTGTCTGAGGGAGGAGAAGCGCTCTGTCGGGGACGAGGAGAGCCCAAGAGCGGCTCTCCGCTCACGTGGCTGTCGTTCAGCGCACAGACGCTGGCTGGTTTCCTTCCAGAGTCCCCTTCTGGGAGTCTCCAGTGAGGCCTGTGCACCTGGGCTTTTCACAGCCCCGCTGGGGTCCTGAGTAGGGCGAGGGCCAGTGCTCGTGTGACTGTGTTCGGACCGTGGAGAACTCCCGCAGGTGTTAAACCGTGGAGTGACATGGCCAAGCTTGTATTTTGGAAATACCAGTCTGCTGGCAGGACGGAGAAGGGGCTTAGCTGAGTTTGTGAAAGATATATTTTTATTTGTAATTGATACGTGTTTGCTCATATTTCTATGTTAAGTTGTGACATTTCCATACGTGTACATAATGTGTGATGATCAGATGAGGGTCTTTGGAACATCCGTCATCTCAGATGTTTATCATTTCTTACATTAGAAACGTTCAAAATCCTTTCTGCTAGCTACTTTGAGATACACAGTTGTGTGAACCACGGTTATCCTACCGAGCTGTAGAATGGCATAAGTTGTTCCTGCTGTCCAGTGCACCCCAGGACCCACTAACCATCCTCTGCAGGAGGCACTGCAAAGCTTAAAGCTTCACACACAAGCTAGGCCCACAGCAATAGCGCAGGCAGCGGGTAATGACTTTTTGGCCCGTGGCAGAGATGGTGGGTAAAGGGAGGCAGGCATAGATGAGAGAAATCTTTTAGAAGAAGAGTGACAGGATCAGAGGAAGATGGGTCCTTACTCGGTAGTGTTTGGAACTGGTTGTTCTCAGTAGCAGCTTTCTCTGGGAATGGGTCCCAGAGTTTGTTTTGTCAAATGAGGTCAGGAAATCTGCTTTGTAACTCAGGATTCTCAGGGATTCGAGGGTCATTACAGACAGAAAATTCTGAAAGAGCCCGGTAGAAAGATGAAAAATGGCTCAAAGAATCGTGATCAAGGAAGCAAAAGGATCATGTGTAGGCGTGAAAAGAGAAGGTGGACAGGTAGGAAAGCAAATAAAGCAACGACATGTCAAAGGAAAAACCAAAGAACTAGTGAAAAGTTCGTGGCAAAATTTAGTCAGTTACTGGAAAATGTCTGCCAAAAGTTTGTTCAAGTCAGTATCATAAACCATTCACCAGGGTAGTGGAGAGGACAGGGAGGGAGTTCATGACCATAGGAACTCAATATGGTTGGGCCCAAAGTCCAGTGAAAGAGGCTTGCTATACTCAGTCTAGCCAGCAGATGGAGGTGTTGTCCCATCAGGAGCCTCTCTGACTTTCTGAACCCCATAAAGTTGAGGCTGTGCATCCCCACTTATCTGCTCTCTTGGGTCGCATCATCTGGAAAGTCAGCCGGCAGTGGGTGCAGCTCAGCATCTCCCTGCGCTTGGCGGTTGCTCAGGCAGTGCTGCGGCTGGCCTAACGCACACCTAACCAAGTAGGCACTACCTTGAAAGGATCGACCGCCTGGTGGGCGGGGCTGGATGATGAGACGGGCGAGGGGGTGGTCAGCATGCCGGAAGGAGGAATTTCAGGCAGTTCTTATTTTCGTATTGTTTCCAAAATCATCTTTTTAGTTGGTTGTTTCTATGGGGAAAATGCGTTGGATTTCAATTCCCATGGTCTAAAAAAAGTTAGGTCATCCCGTAAAAATTTGTTGATCTATAAAATAGATGAAATGCAGTATAATTATAAGGACAGAAATAGGAAACAGTAGCTTGCAGTAGGAATTTAATTTAAATAAAATAAATGAAAAAACATTTTTATTTTGGTGAATAAAGAGCATTAGGTTTAATCAGAGAAGGCTAAGGAGTCAGATGGGGCTTTATGTGAAATTTCTGGAGACATTTGGGCACTTTAGAGGCTCATAGCTAGAGCTCCGATTAGTTCAGTGCCTCTGACTCTGAGGAGGTTCTGCTAGTTCAGCAGTCTTTGAGGCGTGCAAATGAGGAGACCAGCCTGGATTGGGGTGCCTGGTACATGGAAGTCCTGAGGAAGGAATCTGAAAGCTTTGGTTTTCATGGTTCCCTTCTCTTGGCCCCATTTTCTTTATTTTTGAAGTGAAACTCATCAGACAGGATGGCTCATGCCTGTAATCCCAGCCCTTCGGAGGCTGAGGCAGGAGGATTGCTGCGAGTTTGAGGCCAGCCTGGGCTACATAGTAAGTTCAAGACCAGCCTGAACTACACAGGGAGACCCTGTTTTTTTTTTTTTTTTTTTTTTTATATG